TTCAAGAAGTCCGCAGCTGTTTGGAGGCCACGTGAATTCCAAAGGCGTTCTCCACTCAGGCCGCGACTGGAAATGACTTCATGATTTGGTGTACATGGAGGTGAATGGCGGCAGCCGGCTCCTGCTTATAGAGGAAGATCTTGGGTATCTTCCGCCTTGGTACTCATATCCACTTCCTCTGTCTGGGCTGCGAAAACTTCGCTCATATGTGACTCGGCCGGAATGACTTTTTTGCCCCCCCCCCCTGTAGACTACCCCTGAATACCATTTCAAAATTAAGAACAGCATAGATCAAAAGGGTCTAGTATATTTCTGCGAATCACAACCACAATTCAAACAGGGAAGTTGGATTGAGCTTTTGACAGATAGACCATACAAATCCTTGGTTTTCTAGACTCTGACGGAAGGGAGAGGGCTGAAACGTGAGTCAAATAAGTATGTAACAACTTTTTTGTGGCTGAATTTTCTCATGAAAAACGCTTTACATGATGCTGAGATCTGTGGCAAGTTGGACATCAATGATATGTGAACCTCATTGTCCGATTATAAAGGTGGTCTCAAAATAGGCTATGAAGAGAAGTGAGGCGATTGCAATGAGTCACCTAAAGCAATGAGGAGTTTCTCGGCATTTATTCATCATCATAGAAGCGGCTATGAACTGTCGCTCAGGCGATAGTGCCTGCTGGATATAGAAGAATGGAGGTGAGAACTGCTTGAGTGACAGGTTACTGTAATTATGTGTAAATAAGTCTCGCACAATAATGATACTCACAGGCCACACTGAAGAGAAAGAGTAAATTATCGAATGCCTCAATTAATGATTCGTTGACTCCTGCTACACTGCCGACGTCATTCAGACTGCAACAAAGTAAAATATGAAAAAAAGTACTTTGGAATCATTTGAAGAGAATAGGGAAATTTGTGTGAGCTGTTGACTATCCAATGATTTGAATTAAGAAAGAGAGGTATTCTCGCCACCAGCATGGAATCAGCTTTATTATTGAATACAAGTAATGACGTCTTTTTATTTATTTTTGCCTATTTATTTATCAAAACAAGTAGCTAACTTTTAGATTTAGGTGCGAATTTTCCTAAGCAAACTGAGCGGAAATTCGTGAGCAGTAAGTAAGCATTGGAACTATGCTCATACATAATTTCTTCATGCTTCGGGCATGCCCAGAACATCTAAACCATTCAGCTTTGCTTGTTACATTCTAGAGTATGTGTTAAAGCATACTACTAGTTTTTACTCACACTTTACTCCGAAAATTGTCAACGGCTGGAGGCTGGTATGGATGAAAACAACGACCACGCCATAAACGTTACCAGTTTGGAACCGTAGATATCGACATTTTTTACGCAACTGCCCTGAAAAATAAAGAATCTCTTTCCGTGAAGGCGTTTGCCTGTTTTTATCTGTTTTTTTTGGGAGATATTTTTTGTCACTATCCTGATCTCACTAGTCATCCACTATTTCTAACTAATCACTGGGAATCAAGGTCACATTAATTGATTTGTCTTTTTTCCGGGAACAGGGCTTTTTGAGGCTGATCTACCCAGAGGAGTGTGCTGGACTTACAGCTTTTAGTGAAGCATAGCAACTAGAAGTTGAAAAGTAGTACTGCTTCTAGGTTCAGAAGTAATATGCACTTCAGTGCACGAACTGTTTCCTCTGGTGTACCTAATACTTCCTGGCTGCGCTATTCACCTTTCTCTTAACTTTCCTGACCTGATCTTTCCGTACAAAATACAAAAAATGAATTAATGAATGCAAGTATTAGAAGCCTAAGCTTTCTAATAGCTTTTCTATGTCACTTGTAAGTGTTTGCCCTTTATTTGAGTACCCGGACAATTACGGTGGATTATGATCACTATAACCACTGTTCCCATCGTTATCCTAATCGACATAACTAAGTGCCATATTAATTACTGGTATGATACTCTGGCGACAAGCAAACACCTATGACACCAGGGCACGCGACTACTGTGGTCGGTTTCGATTACACTGCAGACGTTTTATCACCCCTTTCACGTAAATATTTCAGGTTTTCGAAGCTATTTTTAATTTTTGATACCGTTGACCTTGTTCTATTACCCTTTGAGTGTAATGATGAGCAGTGGTAGACAAAATTCATGGCACACAAAAGAAAGGTGTTTCTGAAATAAGGGTAAACAAAATGAACAGATGAATAGGTGGACGCATTTTTTCGTACAGTAAGGATCTTCTGAGACTCTCCTGTATCCAGCTAACATCTAGTCAAATGCACTGCTCAACAGCAACTTTCCTCCATTTCCCAAACCAGAAGGACTACCTGTTGTCAGCTAGTTCAGCAATAGGCAGTGTAAGGGGTCTGTTTCTATATCGAGCGCGATCTACTCTGGTCGACGAGTTTTCCTGCGAAATCCAAAGGCAGGTAAAAGCGTAAGTGATGTTGAAGAGGTCGTATTCGAGGAGGAAATGGAGGACTAGGGAGTCGTACTGAATGACAGCCCTTCTTTTCCCAACATGGCGTATTGCGCTTCCACGTATGGACCTGACTCTCGGCTTGAATATCTTTCTGTTGAAACATGGCCAGGTACATAGCTCAAAACATTCGTGCTGATTTTAACGATTTTCTCAAAGACTGGTTCTGCAGTGCCGATTAAGGCGTGCTTTGGCCGTGAAGCACACATGAGCGTGCTGGCATACGTGTGTGGGCGATTTTCCGAGCCCGGAGTTCTGAGCTCTTCTGAGCTTTGCCTGAAGATCCTCTGAGCTTCCCAGTGATCAAGCCTTATTGTCTGAGCTTCTGCACATGGACATTGTTTTCTCTTCTTATCTTGTCTATGCCATCTTGTCATCTTCCTTTTTCACCTCAGAGTGTCGGTAGAACTTTGTGGAGAAAGACTTATACTTTGTATTCCGCGACATGGAGCTTTGGCAGTTCCTGGAGACACAGGCTTAGACTCAAATGGGAATAACCACCTGCCTCGTTTGGGGACCCGTAATAGTCGTATTTTCGGCGCCTCAGGAATAAGCGATGTTTAAGAAAGAAAGAAAGTTAGGAAGAAGAAAGAAAGAAAGTTAAGAAAGTTTACAAAAAGAACACTGTAATGGAACTGTAGTACCCACCACATCTTTTGCCTACATGATATTACAGCCATAGACCGCCAGGAACTGGTACTTTCTAGACGTACAAGACTTCACTCTGCGGTTGAGCAGGCTATTTCCGTTGCACTTCAAAGCTGACTAACAAAGCACACTGTTTTACTTATGCCTCGATTGTCTAGAGTATCTGTAGAGAAGTATAGAATTTACGCGAGGTTATGGGGGGGGGGGTAGCTCCTGCTCAGATATTCATATAATGCTTTGATTTCCTATCTCTGCTCTTTCTTTTCGAGATTTTGGCAGACTTCCAAGAAATTGAACAGTCAGCTAGAAGTAAGCATACTTGTAATATATGAGATTTGGATAACCTATGTAACATGTTTGAATGTTCAAAGCAACACGAGAATTTCTTCACATCTCTATTGACATGAGTCTCGAGATTCTCGCATTGTATGGAGCAAAGGTAAACATTATGAATAGGCGTAGGAAAACTGTTCGGTATCGCGATTTCTTTCAAGATTTCCCCTCTTATGAATAGGTCGTTTACCAGTTTCCTTCAAATGTACTCGTCTATCCCCTCAAATTTCTTATTACTCTACACCCATTTCCAACAGTAATACCCAATTGTCTCTGATGAATCGGAGCGGCTTACACTTCTCTAGAAACCGATCCGTTCAAGATGTAGACGGAGGAGTTTCGTTTTTCCGATGCGATTTTGTTCGTCCTCAGACACTTTATAATACCTCAGAACAACCACTTTCTGCATCTTGAAGGCATGGTGTAACCAATTTAGAGGCAGCGGGCGCTTTTCTCACTTGAACAAAGTGGATTATATCCAGCTGATTGGGTGCTGCATTTGAATGCTCACGCTTCGATTGGTTCTTTCTCGCAATAATAAGACCTCCAATTCGACACGCCTCAACGATGGAAGTTAGCGGCTATGTTCTTAGAACTGGTTATGCACCTTAACCTCCATGCTCGCCATCGTAATTGATATTTTCATATGATATTGATCCCTATAATCATCGACGTTGTGACTAACTGAATCGACCCCGTTTTCCTATTCTCAAACACAATTTTAATGGCCATTTTTTCATCCGAGGTGACGATGAGTTAATTGTCGGTCACATAAAACGATATGGTCTTTGTTTTTGTTCTGAAATGCGCCAATGGGAAAACGCAATCATCCGTCCGCCCATCGCCCCATTACCGTAATCCGGAGAGCTGAGCTCCGCCTAACTCCGCCCACGTATCATGTTTGCCAGCGAACAGTGCCTCACAAAGAAACAGGCGCAACGAGTGCCGGTTCTTACTTTGCTTTTCTTGTTTTCCTCAACCACAAGTGTCCCCTCGATTGCCTTACACTTACGTTTTGCCACCTTCAACACATTCAACCACGCTTCTATGTTTTTCATTTTTCATCATTCCATCATTTCGTCACCCCTTTCCTCATCCTTTCCCCATATTAGCCATATCGTATTATTACCATTAAAAGACCCCACATGTTCAGATGAACGGTCTCTCACTACTATATCCATCGTGCTTACCCGGAAATTCATCAGTAAAGTTAATTGATGACGATGAAACAGCTTCCGTTTCGTCTGGAGTCTCACCGGCACCATCAGCACAAGATTCTAAATCTCCTACTGATAGTCACGTAAAACGCCCCATGAATGCCTTTATGGTGTGGAGTCGAGGACAACGACGAAAAATAGGCACAGGTATGCCTTTTACTTCACTTGAAACGCAACACAAGGTGTAACAGCGAAAGACATACATTGAAAGGGCAGTTTATCGGTCTACTTTCGTGAATTTGGCCGCCGCGGTGCCCACTTCACATGGCGGGTTACTTAGACTGCGAACCGCATTTACATATACTATGTGAAGCTTCGTCTTGCAGGACAATCCAAAAATGCATAACTCGGAAATCAGCAAGCGACTTGGCGCCGAATGGAAGCAGCTGTCCGATAAGGACAAACGCCCATTCATTGATGAAGCGAAAAGGTTACGCTCAATACATATGAAAGTAAGTATTCACTTATATTTGGGATCTGAAACTTATGACCCACTCAGTTGAGTAAAACTGATATCTCTACTCGTTTCAGGAACACCCAGACTACAAATACCGTCCACGACGTAAGCCAAAGTCAGCCGTAAAGACCCAAAATCGGCTTCCTCTCGGCATTGCACTACCGCCTTTCGCAACTCAAGCACTTTTTGCCAACTACAATCACTTGGACAGTATCAAAGCACCGGATTTTACCAGTTACTATTCGTCATTTTTCCCGAATACAATGCTATCCGCCTCCTATACGCCATACGACGTAATGGCTGCCTATGCTCGACAAGCAGCAGCCGTAGCCGCAGCTTCACAACCACATTCAACGAATTCACTGCCACCTTCAACCTGAAATCGCAATTGGTATGATTGTTTACTTTCATTTTCTGTCTATTCAACGAATATTTGTCCTTTACAAATCATTAGTGGTTGAGTGGCGAAAGTTTGAATGTACTCAATGCACTTGTGAAGTATTAGATTTGTTGCGATACGGCTATGAAACTAGTTCGGGGGGTTTTGTGTCGTATTTGATGAAGGCGGAAGGATCCACACTCGGAACCGCTTGAATCCGCTTTTTTTTTCTAGCGCGTTGCTTGGCCGTGTGGCGACGTCGCTCGCCTCCTTTTCCTGACAGAACGAATCGCGAGCGCTATTGTTCCTTTATTTACCTACTTCGATCTGGAATTTCGCATGCGTTTAGTTCCGATACCCACATCGCTGCCAGTTTCGCCACGGTCGCTCTCTTCCGCACTTTCACACAAAGACACTCAACGATTTTTCGTCATCAAACTTTTCAATAGCCGAGGCGGTAACTGTCACAGTTAGTACAGAACTGAATAGGGAGACAGTACTGGTTTATTTGCTTTAATACTAGTTACAACTCACCTGAAATCAGAGTGGGTGTGGGAAAGAATATAATACGGAGGCGATCCCGCGAGGAAACTTGGAAGCAGTAGCAACGCGTGTATAAGTGGAAATACCAGTTACGCTAAGCTTTGCGGTAGCAGAGTTTCTGGTACTCTAACCGGGGTTAGGGTTAGTCCGTGCAATTACGGTGGGTTCTCGTTACCCCCGGAACATTTCAAAATACGAAAGTGCTCAAAAGCTAGGAGAATCGGCTCAAGGCGAGTGATTCAGAAGTTGTTGCCACACTTGCCCGCATTGTTATCGTAGCTGAAACTTCTTTGACTCAGCCATTCAAATAGCTTTTTCTCCGCAGTTGAACTTGTCGGCTTCAAGTGAGGCTGGCTGGCCCCAGTATTCTGTGACAAATGCTAAGTGCTTTCTCCTACATCGGCTAGGATCCAGCGGTTTGAGGCTCGCGAGCTATCAGTTAATTTCGATAATTGTCTATACTAGTATCCACCGTGAAGAGGCTTCCCTACAAAGAACTTACAGTCTTCAAAGAACTGTTCGCGGGATGGGGTAGAGAACATGAAGTGTTCCACATAGTCATTTCAGGGCAAAAAAAACTCACAAAAACTGCGCGAGGGTTTGAAGTCAAGGAAAACCTCCTCAAAGGGAACGAATGTTTGCGCGCTTCATCAAAGGCGTTTTTCTAGGCGATTCCCTTTAGTTCTGATTTTCGTTCAACATTCAAAGTAAAACCCATTTCTAATGCTTATCATTATAGTCGATTGTACGGAGAAATAGATACCTAGATCAAACAAACAATCTGTAGCATGAACTCACAGAAAACCAGTTTTTTGTTATGTTATCACGTTTTTGTTTACTTTCGAGTCTGGAGGACTCGTTAACCTGTAACAATACGATTTCGGGAATTTGTTGCTAAGATTTAGAAGTACCGAGGGCAAAAATCTCCTCCGTCAGTCGATCAATTTTTGGGATGCTGCAGTCGTACCATTCCCACTTAGAGCTGTAGTGGCTTTGGCCTAAAATGGGTATGAGGACAGCCAAGGCACAAGTCAGCTTCTTTATCCTCCCAGACGAGTATGATTCCAAAAAAACCCACCTGGGAGGAAAGATAGGCTTGATTGACGAGAAAAGGGAGCCGTTGTGGGGACCGAAAGGGTAATAAGCACCCCATTTCCTATTGTAGAACCTCTACCCCTGTGATTCACAAGGTTACAAATCTTGTCGGGCTTCCGCTTTTTCTGCTGCAAAGAATTTGCCCCGCCACACGGATCTCATGCCAAAATACTGGTCCAGGAAGGACAGTTGGCCCCCATGAGAGCAAGGAGGTTGACGAGGCGTGTTGCTTGCCAACACACCACTTCCATAGATCGCTATGTTCACTATTCATTAAAGGAGTACTGTATTTCACTTGCTATTTTTCCATCAATTTTCTATTTTGACTTTCGAATAATTTGAACAAAAAGCGCCCCGATGAATCTTTCCCTTCTGAACTACCCCTGACTGGCTTTTTTTGGCGCATTTGTACTGCAGTAATTCCTAAACAACTTTTTGATTCTTCTTTCCACCTGTGCATAGACCCAGTCTATGAATTTCCACCTGATTAGCTAAGAATCTGATTCATGTATAACGCTTTTTGGTTACACTATCGCTACTTAGTTTTTATTATTGCTTATTACTACTGAGTATTACTTGTTACTACTTGATTATTAATAGTTACAGTATATTACTGCGTAGTATTTTAAGGTATGCTGTTCCATCGCAATGATATCCCGCCGCCGAATCTCGTACGTCACCGCAATGCGACGTAACCAAAACAGAAAACTCAGCTTATTGTACGAGTTCTAACGTTATCTCTACGACTAACTTCCGGTCACAGCAATGTCTTGTGCAGTGCGTGTCATTATTGTTTAAATGTATACATTATAAAGTGTACGTGTGTTGTGTGTATTTTTGTTTTATTTTTTATATCTATTTGTTTGTGGGGTACTGATGTGTGGTTTACTGGGCATCGACCACATAGCTCCCACTACCGAGGTGCTCGGGCCAACTCCACGTCAGATCGAGGCTGCCAGCCAGCGCCGCCACGATCGTCTCTCGTCCCCTTATTTCGTGTGTGATTCTTGAGATTATGTTTGCTATGTGAATAAACGCTATTGAATGGAAAATTCTGGAAACGAAAAGGAAAGTATGCGGCCGTTTGGGCTGACTAGCTGGCTGAATGCCCCGGTCCCAAAACAAACAACCCGAGATGCCTTTGCCTGTTGGAATTGTTTATTCTGCAATAGGGACAAAATCGGAACTAGAGATGCAAATACATACGCGTTTGCCATCGTATTAAAGTTAAGCTTTGTTCTTACCGCTAAACTGCACCCTTTTTTCGGGGCATCATTGACACTCCTCTTAATGTTGTTGAGGTGTTCGCACACGGGACTCTTGAACTGAAGGGTCGAGACTCATCAACAACAGCCTTCTAATACCTCCCCCTCCTAAATCGCATTCAATGGCGGTCTAGGCAGTGATGATGTCGGCCATCTGCCGATTATAACTCAATTTGTTCAGTTCTGTCAATTGCTCGTTCGTCATTGTGAGTTCATTCAAGGCCGCTTTTGTTCAGCGCCCCTAGCGAGCATCTCACAACAATACACGCAAAGGAAGGAACCAGAAAAAAATTAGCAAATATCGATCGGCCACCACGCAACATCGGCACCGTAACGAACCTGTTCCACTAAGGACCGTTTTGGAACGGTTGAGTAAGATTTCTGCCACTGCATCAATCTGGGATACAGTTGCTACCAGTGAGGATTTGGAAGACAGGGACGTGAAAGGCTTCAAATAATAAACTTGTATCCATTTTATTCTTAAAGACACTAGGTACAATAATTTGCACTCGGCCTAAAATTAGCAGGGGTGCCATATAGTGGGGAAAGAGAAGTAAATAAGACAAGAATTTGCAAAAGAAGCCTTTGTTCTACACGACCTGGAAGCGGTTCTGGACGAGTTTCCCGTTGGCATCGTGCCAGTAACCGCTACGTAGATCGCAGCGGCTTTATATCATTCTCTTCACTTCATATTGTACTTCGCAAATGAAGCGATACGATCATCAGCACTGGTGGGATATTTTAGGAGGGCGGCGCTGTAGGCGTCCAGTTCCGCTATGTTGCAACTTGATAGGGCGCTATATACCTTCCTCGGAAGAGGCGCTATGCAGCGCCTGCTCAGAGATGGCAAACTCTGTCCTGCTGGGCGAATCCTGCACGTAATAGGGGTTTCACCTCTTACCTTCAAAGGCAGTTACATATGGGACCAATACGAAAAACAGGGCCGGGTCCTTATAGTTGTTCGTTGACGTTGTCTCCAAGAAGGGGCGTAAGAAAGAAAGGGTCATCCAAACGAAAGTCCTATATTTCAACGATATTGCTTTGCTAAGTTAAAGTACTTTTTTAACAGAAGATGTAGAGCGTACTAGATATTCAGTAAAACTCAGAGGCGCTCATTTTGGCGCCATGTGGCTCGAGAGGGATACTAGCAAGGTGGAGCCGCGTCATTTCTGCCCATCCACCCTTCTCACCAAAGCAGGTGGGATCATCTACAACACCGCACTTTCTGACATCATTGCATTTTTCCTCTCCCTCGTAATCGCCCACCTGAACAGCAGGATGCGTTCAACCCTTCTTGAAGAGTAACTCCTTCCTAAGTACGCTGCGCCGTAAATCCTTCCGTAACTGTTGTTGAAGTCGCAAATCGCCTTCCCCTTTCCGCTTTTCCGTGAATCTTGATGGTGTACCTTGTTCACTAATTAGCATTGGTGAACAAGGTACACCATCGAGATGGAAGATCTTATGCGCCATCCCTCACCTCACCTATTTTGTTCTCCTGCACGACCCCCTTATTACGATGTATCGTCAACGTTATCAAATACCAAATTTTCCTGAAATTCTATCCTCAAACGACGGGAGATGAAATCAGCATTGAAATTTTATTAGATCAAATACGATCCCCTTTTGGAATTCCCCAACAGTGATGTGCCCTGCTTGGGAATATTTTGTGGTGAAATGAGAAAAGGCTGGGATACTAGAAGACCTGATTACACTAACGGCTACCGCTGAGCAACAGTGGACTCAATTTCGAACGCTGTTCCCACTAAAGTCGTTGAACAACACAGCATGAGCATTTATTACGTAATGAGCAAAGTTACGCAGCAGGAAGTCGAGTGGACCGATCAGGTCGAACAAATCCTCAGAGCGGCACGTTCTGAGGTCTACCAATCAGCAAATATTACCTCGACATCGGTAGCTAAGACGAAAACCAACAACGTTTTGAATACATTTGTTTTGAAGGATTATCTCCCCATGACGGCAATATCTCGCCTTGCTTCTCAGGGTTTTGGGTTACTTTGGAGTGTTCCAGCCCACTCAGGTAGGCTCGGAAGCCTCCCTTAGGTTCAAAGGCTTCCCGTCAGCCCCCCTAACCCGCCTT